GGGGGGGGGGGGGGGGGGGGGGGGGGGGAGGTACTTAATAGGAGCCACAGAGGTATTTTTGAAACCGCTATGGAACCGTTAACTCCAAGAGAGCACTCTTACCGAGAGAGCGTGGTAAGTAACCAATCAACAGTCTTGAAATAAAGTGTTGACAGGCTTAACACAACTCCTAAGTTACTTTAACATAAAACAAATTTTGCCGGAACTTTCATTTTAATGTACACTTTTACCATTGTCACGTCGAAATTACCACAAAATTTACAAATAAAAATATCACAATTTGTTAAATGAATTCTTCTTGCTAACTAACCGAAATTAAAAAATTATATATCTATTAAGAAGTTATTCCCTGTAAAATCAAGGACAAATGTTATAGTTCATCTACCCTTTAGAAAGGTGACATGATGTAGTTTACCTCAATTAAACCATAAAATAATCATGAGTCTCAAGTCTGCCATTATCAGGGAAAGTAATTTAAAAACCTTGCTATGCGATCACTGGCATAGAGGGGTATTGAAAACAACAAAACTACTAAAAAGTGGATTAAAACAGGCAAATTCACAAATTTCATTGCAGTTTGAAAAACAATTTTAAAACGTTCTTGGATGTGATTTTCAACTTGCCTAAATTGTACTCTTTCGCAAATGGAAAAACACAGGGAAATCCGGGAAAAAGCACTAATCACTGAAACTCCCAGCCTCTCACGCGGGCGTTTTTAGGGGAGCTCGTATTTCGTCCGTCCCCACAAACGCCTGCTCAACCAAAAACAACATTCCTTCCCCATGGTCATAAAGCTTTCCCAGTGAACATGCATATCGAGTAATTATCGGATTACCCTGCGGTCAAGGTCAACCTTCCAGAATTTGGAAGGTACAATGTGATTGGGAAAGGAATGTTGTCTTCGGTTGAGCTGGCGTTTGCGGGGAGGGACGAAATTCGAGCCCCCCAAAAACGGCTGCGTGGGAGGCTATGAGACTCCATACGTATATTTAAAAACTCCGAACCTTTAAAAATTGAAAAACCAGCGTCAAAAAGAAACACTATCCAAAGAGCTCCAAAATTTCAAGAGCAGAAACCGATATTAAAACTGGTTTAAGCCAAAAAATCTCTATGTCCCCCTCCGAGATAGTTTCACAATACCGGAATAGAAGATACCTGCAGAATGCTATATAACCTATACAAAGAGCGGTTTTTACTTGACTGCTACGTACCAATTTCAAAAAAACCTACTCTGGCCAAGCTAAACCGAGCAGTTAATCTGATAGGTCAAAATCCTAAAGAAAGCACGTTTTCACCATAGCTTCCTCTGCTACTTAATTGACCAATCAGATCAATAACCGGAGTTTTATACCCTCAACTGACGTGATACACTAGATGACTATACCGCAAAGGTTGTCGAAACGTCAGTCACTGTCAACAACAGCTCTATTCAGGACTTCGTTCACCCGGACGATCATTCAAACTCAACCTATTTATGAAATCACTCCTGGGTTCAAACTTTTCACAAAATAAACAGCAATTAATTTAACGATCACATCCTCAGACAACCAAAAAGTAGCTAATTGATTCTAAAGTGAATAGACAGACGGAGACGGAAGCAAGATGAAAGTGGAGATACAAAGAAAACGAATTTTTCCTTTTTCTTCTGAAACTGTTTCTGCTTCCTTTACGTCCATTGCCTACGCCTCAGGGTAAACCAAACCGACAGAGGAGGAAGGTTTGACCCAATCATAAAGCTCTTTCCAAGTCCCAATTTTAAAACCTAATAGTGGTCTTGAATTAAATAAAACCTAAGGAAGTGGTGTCAAAACTTTGACAAATGGTGCAGGAAATCTGCCGACTCTGTGGTTTACTTGACCTTTCAGCCATTCGTCATTTATCCGTTCCAACAAAATAATGTCATCATCGACCTGAGTAAAGACAAAGACAAGCGCATGCATAATCAGGACCCGGTATCGCTTGCTATGGCGTCTCACATAGCCTTCAGTTAGAGGTTTAAAAGGGGCGATGCTTCTGAACTCATTTGAAGAGCTGCTCTAAGTGTTTGCCTATAGCCCCCTCCGCGGGCTTCACAGTCCTGTTTTAGAGAACGAGTAGGAGAATGGGGAGAAATGGGAAAATGGGGAGATACAGTGATCCCAACCCCTCTTCACTTTTTTCTCTTTTTCTCGTTCTCAGACTCCTCACGGTCAGTACAACCGTTACAATAGGAGTTGCCTGCGGAGGAGGCTAGTGTTTGCCTTGGAAAGGTTAGCGCCTTAATGGGACAGACAAGAGAATAACCTCATTCTTTTTTGTCGGTCTAAGACCTTTAGCAGATTGTTGTCCGTTGTGTTTAGTTTTTAGAGAGATTTAGATTTGAGGAAGAGGACGAGTACGAGTACGCGATTTAACTTTAAGTTTTTTCGCGTATTCTCAAAAATATTCAACCCGGAAAGCTTCATTGCAATATTTTTTACCTGAAAAATTAGTGAGGCTATCTAGCTAAAACTCCCGCCAAAATGACGCTGGTTCACGCGCGAGCACCGCTTAGTATTGAAAAAATCTCGTACTTGCAGTCGTCCTCGTCTCAGAATCTAAAACTCTCTTTTGTCATGTCATGTGGCGCAAGTTTCACTTTAGTTTGCAAAGTCAGACCAAAAAGGTTAGATTTCTAAGTACAATCCAATGACATATATAATGAGTAAGTAATTTTTTCAATGACTAATTGATTAATGTCATGATTTAACAATCCAGAGAGCGTGGTATTTCTGGTCGTTTTAGTCTGGCATTCAACTTTATATTCGCGCCCTAAGCGTAACTGGAGGCGGAGCAGTTGTCTCTTTCGTAAACGGTCGCTGCGATTTTTAAGACACTTAAAAATTTTTTGACCTGTTTTTGAAAGCGTTTGTATTAAAATGAAAGAAAATCGCAACCCAAGGTCAGGGTTGCGATCAGGTACCGTAATCTCTCTCCCTTACCACTACACTACAACACCGACCGCCAAAATTTACAAAAATTTTAATTACATTCACTAGCAAACTGTCTTTCATAACTGTTAATTCAGGTGACCGCCCTAGCTCTTTCCATAATTTTTAACGTAAATTCGACTCGGGCTTCAACTTCCTTTTTTTGTAAGACTATTCAAAAAGGTATTATTTGCCTTATTGTAACTTAGTCCAGGGATTATATTACATCCTTCATGTCTAAAAGCTTGGTTACCAATGGTGGCATCGACCATTAAAAATGGCAACGACCGTTTACGAAAGGGAAATAGGCGGACGCGGAAAGGACTTTAGCCTGCGAGCAAAAACTAAGAACAATGCCAAGATCCTAAACAAATTGAAGGTAAGTAATTACCTTAAAAGATAATTCATCTTCATATTCGCCATCAAAATCGAACAAAGCCTTCGCCTTTGGTGTAGCTTTGACATTCTTCCTAGGCTGAGGTCCTAAAAGGGTTTAACAAACACAGATATCGAAATCAACCAGGCAATGTAGTCTGTACAAACTGACGATTGGCTCATAGGGCAATAGCCTGGGACAGGATCGTTGTTGTCAGGTATGAGAATCCGTGACTAAATTCTCACGGCATTTGCGTTTCTTCCAGGGGTACTTAAAAATAGCAAACTAAAGGCTTTCCTATTTATCGTGAAATGCTTAAAAACAACTTACAAAGCAATATATTTGTTTTGTACCCGGTCGAAAAGTTTGCTAAAGGAATTGCACAGAAAGTTTGTAATCAAACAACAGACTGGTCGAGGAGCCAGACATCCAGTTTGGTCAAAGTTTGGTTCGTCTATGTACATACTTAAGATGAAGTAAAACAGATAAAACTGCTATTTAAGAGCGTGACAATAAATGAGACGATTGCTGGCTGTACCTGGCTCTTTTGAAAGTTGAACAAAAGCCTGAGGAAACATTCCCTCGTGATCTCCAAGCCTCCCTCTCAGCCAATCATCGCTGACAACTTCTGTAACTTCTATTCTGTCTCCTTTCTTGAAGGACAATTCATCAGATGCTGAGGCAGTGAAATCATACCGAGCTGTGCCGTATTCCACCACAGGTTTCTCCGTCTCTTCTAATAACAGAAAATAAGTGAAGTACAGTAATTCAGGAGAGAGCTAACAAGCTCCGGAGGGGTACCCTGTAGGGAGTCTTTTCAAGGGGTACAACTTGTACGCGTCGTACATCCAATTATACGGTATATTACGAGGGCTTTATGAACCTGAGAGGTGAGGGAGGGTCGTACGAGTCGTGCAGCTGGGTTGCTTACCATTTACACAAACCACCAGGGTGAAAATCTTGTGCATAAGTATGAGACTATAAAATTTGACGTGGTGGAATAACGATCCGCTACAAAGTAGATACAAATTAACTGAACAGACAAAAATGAGTTGAAAAATTGCATCACCTCAAATCACAGCCCATATTTTCTGAAGCTTCCCAAACGGATGGCGCGAAACATTTGAATTTCCACCCGGAATCTCCGGTTTTCCCATGTAAATGATAAATACCCATGGTTAACATGCACCTTATTATGGACACTTCGAATTTGAGTGGCAAGTTGCAGAAGGTAGAGAGGGGCTATTTTCAAGTGGTGCGACTCGTAATCGCTCTCGTGCGACGAGCTGTGCAACTGGTAAGACTGAATCTGCCTGCTTACAAGCTTGGTGCGTTATTTGTGTTGTCCACCCGTGTGGCGTGGCGTGGCAAGCATTCAAAGTGTAACAAATAGTTGGCTTGTAGAACGAGGAATACTTATTTCACGTATTTCTTTAACACGCGCTACGCATCTTGGTCAACATTTTGCCTTAAGTGAGAAGTAAGTGTTAATGTTGACTTAGGGGAGGGGTAGATGGGCAGTTTCCCAGAAGCCTAAATTGATCCCGCACATTAATGTTGAAAGTAGCCTGCGTAACACCTCGCTTTATTCTAATACTGAAGGAAAGCGTATCTGATTCATTTACCACTTAGTAATGATAAACACCGCTTAACAACTCATTAAACATGAATGAAACTTTCAAGACTTGAACAAGACTCGCGCATCACTCATGATTGTGGATTTTACCTCGGTGCAAAAGACCGCTTTCACTTACGTCGTCAGCAGCTCTACAAATGTATTTGAACAAAAAAACGTTTTTACATGAGAAAAGAGTTTCAAGGGGTATCCTGAAAACACCATGTGGCTGTATTGGCGGTAGTTTATACCGGCGGCACTGCAGTATACTTTTGCTAGACAACGATAGAATGTCGATTTGGACGTCAGTTTATAAGAAAACAAGTTTTCTGTTCCAAAAGAACTTAGTGGGTACCTACAATACACACTGAGCCCTTTGCCTTGCTTCCAAGTCAAATCCGCTGATAACAAAAATCACAGCAACCTCGTTAGCACAATTCTCTCCTATCCGTAGGGGCGAGTGGCCAGGAGAGACCCTGGAAACGAAGTTGTAATCACAGCTCTATTCTTGGCTATTGTAATGTCAGAGGCTGCAGCAGCGAAAAATAGATCGACAAACTGTGAAATAAATTTCGTTTTTTACCTGTTTCAATTCCTGTTTTCTCCTGTGCACCTTCAAGCATCTCCACAAAAGCCGAGGGAAACATCCCGACTTGTCCATGAAGCTTGCCCTTAATCCACTCGTCACTTATTTTCTCGTGCACTTCAATGACATCTCCCACGCTAAAACTGAGATCTTCTGCCACACCGCTGTTGTAATCAAACAGAGCTTTACACTGAAGAGAACGCCCTGGTTTTGAATGTGTCTCTTTCCTACTCTTGTTTGCCGACACGTTTCTTTCAGTTTGTGGTAATTTATTGATTACGTCTATACTTATATCAACGAAACTGCAAGGGAAAGCCCCTGTCTGTCCACCGGTTTCTCCTTTTAACCAATCATCATTGATCTTTTCGATCACGTGGACCATATCCCCTGCACTGAAGACAAGCTCGCCATCCTGGTCGTTTCCATGGAAATCATATAAAGCCATTACATCAAACGGGGAGCTTGCTGGCACCGCAGTCGGCTGTGGAAAGCACCGTAAATGAAACGTTTGGTATAGGTGATAAGAGTGAAACGCCCCCCAAAATAATTGATGTTCCCCTGAATTCTGTGCTGAGATTAATGAAATGCCATTCAGGTCTAACGCTCCAGTCGTGGGATAAAAAATGGAGACGTAGTTTCCTATTAGCCCATTTATTTGTAGACAGAATTTATAAAAAAATTTCGATCATAATCACCTCCCAGGTTATAGGCCTTTCGGCAGGTATCTAACGTATATATATAACTTGTTTGGATATGTTCTGGTAGCAATTTAAATTCGAGTTGTTGATTTTCTCTTGGATTGAATTAAATTGAGTGTTGTTATCAGTTCGTTTCGAGACGATATTTATTTCTCTTACAAACCCCCCCCCTTCCCGGATAAAAGCCTACCTGCCCACCCACCCTTGTCTAAACTTAGGGCTGATATTAAACCGGGATTTTAATTTTTGCGAAAAACGTTATAGTGATTAGGGTTAAGCACTGAATACAGTGATTAGGTCGTCTAAGCACTGACTCGAAATGGTTAGCTTTCATTTACCGTTAGGTTTGTCACTACATAACAGAAGGGACTTAGACTTAAGGAAAAGAAAAGAAGAGTAAAAGTTTGAAGAGACTTAGAAATTTCATGTAAGTGTACTTAAGAGGGGAAGGTGGTTCTGGATGATGGAATCTTAAATGCTAACCGGTCAACGACGTGTTTCCAGAATTTCCCAATACCTCCTTGCACGCATGCTGAAAAATTAACCGGGACTACCTTGCGCGCCTAGTTTCTTCATTCGAGAAGATTTCGATACTTCGATTCTATACGCGGGGAAATTTAGGGTGCCTCCTCGGGTTCTGGGCTCTAGGCCGGAACCCTGCGGAGGGCAAAAAGATTCCGAATGGAAAAAATGCGAATAAATTTTACACGTTTTTCTATTGGTAACTAAAAAGTGTGGGCTTCGTGTACATTTAGTAGCCCTTTTCAGGGATCTTTACCTGGTCTTCCTGTGTGGTCTCTTGAGGAAGATCCTCAATGATTTCCACAAACTTCACAGGAAACATCCCCTCCTGGTTACCAAGCCGACCAACGTACCAATCATAATCAATCTTTTTAACAAGCACAATCTCATCTCCTGCCTATAAGGATAAATAAAATGCAAAAACCAAGCGCATTAATTCAGAAAGTAATGACTGCAAATTAATAAGTCAGTAATGGTGTAACCCACTCACACCCGAGCCGCCCGTAACAGATCTACGTCCCTTGTGCCCCTTGTGACATCATCAATTTGACGGTCACAGATAACTTTGACGATTAAATTGTATACAGGGAGATAAGAGATCTTTCCAACCATACCCAATTGCATTTTTCAGTGAACAAAATTGCTAGTTGGTAAATCAGAAACAACACAAAAAGCATGCAGAAAAAAGAAATTTAGAAAAAAACAAAAATGTATTTGAAGGGAAGAAAAGATTACAAAAATTTATATTCCCGTTTTGCTAACAAGTATTTCACAAATTGCTCCAAAGCTCTGTGGTTGTCTTCGGCGACAGGTGAAGATGAGGAAAAGGGCTGCAACTTGGTCAAAATTAGGCTAACATTTCTCACGTTAGCCCAATGTGACTCGGAAAAATCACTAAAAATTATAATAGTGGATTTCTTTCGAGAAATTCTCTTAAAATCTACATACTTGTAGCAACAAGTCCCGTATAATACTCCTCGCAACTTCTACACCAAGTCCTTTTTGGTGTGTAAAGAGATTTAGAATCGCGTCTACGGCAAACGACAAACAGCAATTTGTTTCATGTGAGCAAGTTTTTCCTTTACTCGACGGTTACTATTCATCACGTCCACATAAAAGTTAGTAGTTACACGGCAGTCTCATCCACAAGAATTAGTTTGCACAAGGATTTTTATAAACTCATTTTCTATCATGATTTGAGAAATTGTCAAATTGAATCCACATGAAGTACCATATTGGTACTTAATGTCGCGCGGGTGTTTAATTACGCGTTTTTAGTGATTGTGAAAACATCGCTCCGCTAATAATCCTCGCGAAATTTAAACACTGACCCCAAAATAATAAATACCCATTGTAGAAAATCATCAGTCAAATCATGGGAAAAATGGCTAACCTTTAAAAACATGTACACAGGATATTGACTGACAAATACACAAATTATTAACTGGTTTTACTGGCACGTTCCGTAATGGGCCTTTAAAACAATATCGCAACAATGTTGCAACGCTGTGTTGTGCTAAAAATCGTCGTTGCGAATCGTCTCGTGTAACATCGCCTTAAGGTAGGTCTGACGTTAGGTTTACATTAGGGGGCCGTTTCTTGAAGGTCCAGGAAAGCTGTTGTTCCGTTTACATTTACGATAAAGGTTTCAACAGCTTTACAGAAACCATGCCAAAATTATTAGTTGGCAGAACGAAATGAACAGATATTTTTTCTACCAACCACACTTTTATCATTTAAATTTTGTTTGAATATTTGATTTCTGAAAGGTTACCGCGACTTTCGAGAAACGGGGAATGGCCCCTGTACACTGAAGCTAAGGGAACCCACGACCTGAAAACCTTTCCTTAGCTCCGGGGGGAACTTTCTTACTGGATGTTTCAGCTGTAAAGAAAGTCTGGTTACAAGGGAAAAAATCAGGTTTTATATTTGTTTGTTTTTGTACTCTTGATGAATGCGATTTTCTGTTTAGTAGGTTCCGCCATCCGAGTATTAGTATCTCACGATATCGTCTCCCGAGTTACATGCAAAGTTCAACAGATGACACTTGGGTTGAGGAAGTGTCTTCGTTTTTCTTTTTCCTGGACCTGAAACAAGATAAGCGGTTCAGCTAAATGGCACCTTTTCTTTTTTTCCATTTCGACATGACCCAGACGATAGCTGATGTACAGTATTTTCTCGAAAAAAAAGTCATGGGCAGTTTTGACGCGGCTTGTCTTCGAGGCCGGCGTTTATTAATGAAATGCAATTTTCTGTCATTTTCAGGCCCGGGGGCAGTTTGTCAGGGGGTGGCGGGAGGACGATTTTTCCCTTCGTCCCGCCTCTGGATCTCCGAGGATGATTACCGTATGTACATTACCTAAAGTTACAGTATTATGGTACTGTACATTTTGTTGTGTTACGTCAGTATTTTTCCTTTGAAAGTTTACTAAAATACCAAAACAGCATACTGTTCTTGGTATGTCGTAACAGTGCTGTTCAAGAGATTTTATTTATTTGTTACCGGTCCTTGTGACCTCGACCGCAAATAAACGCAGGGACCTCGATCAAACGCCAGGGCCCCGATTAAACGACCCCGGCGTTTAGTTGAAAATCGGCAGTTATGACCCGGCGTTTTTCGAGGCCAGCGTTTCATCGGGGTCCGGCTTTTAATAGAGAAAATACGGTAAACACTGGCGGAGTGTACCAGCGAGAAGGATATGGCGTGGCCAAGTGACCAGTGGACTCTTAATCGAGAGGTCTGAGTTCGGGCTCCGCTCTGACTTCTGACTGTTTCTCTGTAGTCCTAAGTTCATCTCGTCGGCCTTTGCTGTAAACAGCTTGTTGTTTTGCCTCCAGACAGTTCTTATTTCAATCATGCTACATTATATGCCAAATTTGACGTTTTGCTGGCGTTGCTTTTAGTATGCTGCCAGTAAACGAGCTAAAGGGCTAAGTGTACCTCCTCTATAAACAAGGCGCTTTCTTATTTCACTAAACACTTGAGGGAGCGACGAGCAGTAAAGGCAATGTTACTTACTTTGCTACTGGCTGTGATGGTGCTTGTTTCTCGTTCTTTGAAGTCGATGCAGATGTAGGTCGAGGTGGTCTTGCTTTGGACTTTGAAGCCTTTTCATGGCCCTTAGCATGATCTGTCTCCCTTGAGCCACGTACACTGCATGTGTTGTTCACGTGATCATCCGCTGATGACTCTGCTACTGTTCGTATCTCAGCTGCATTCCTACTGGCAGCATCTGCCTTTGAAGCGGCAGGAGCTGGTCTGGCTGGTTTGGTTTTAACTTCCACGTGAGCTTCCACAGGCTCGTCATGCAAATCTTTAGGATGTGTACTATCTACAGTGCGAGAAGAAGGCCGAGGTGGTTTGCTTTTTTCTTTAGGTTTATGATCCTGTGTTTTTTGAGCGTCTGAACTAACGCTGGTCTTACCACCAGCAAGCTTACTCGAAGGAGATCTACGAGGCGCAGGTCTATGTTTCTCGTTTGATTTTTCATCTGAGGAATGAACTTCATCGCGTATGTTTGATGTAGGCTCCACTTCCCCTCTAACAGAATCAGCTGCAGGGGGTCTGGGAGGAGGAGGTCCCTTCTTTGAGCCTTTTCTAGTTATATTTTTTTCTATCCCTAGTGACGACTCTGACTCATGCAATTTCCTTTTATCTAAAACTGATTCATTTTCTTTAACTCCAGGCATAGTAACTGGTCTTTGAGGACTTGATTTAGTTTGTACTTTATCACTCAGCAGAGCGGAAGCATCTGGTTTCGCTTCTTCTTTCTGAGCACCAGCTGCAAGCTCACTCTGATCCTCATTCTTTGCGGGAGGAGCACTATCTGGCCGTGGTGGCGCTGATCTTCTAATACTTGGTCCTCTCTGTGGTCTTTTGGGCGCTTTCCGCTCTACGCCTGTCTCTTGCCCCTGAGGGCGTGGCGCTCTAATTACAGTTGGTGCGCGCTTAGTTTTCACTGGTTGAGGTGCAGCAGACTGATCTTGCATTTCTCCAGGTTCAGCAGAAGCTACCTTTGAAGAGGTCTGACCATCTTCTACGCTCTTAGAAGTCTCTTTATCAGAATCTCTCGGTGCTTCAGGAATCTTAGAAGGTTGAGAGGGCAATACCACAGTGAGCCGACGTGATGTTTTCACCTGGGCTACAGTTTCGTCTTTCTCCCTAACAGATTCACTACCAGGTGTTGGTGTTTCTGTAGCTATAGAAGGTTTGGCCGCCAATATCACAGTCGGCCGAGGTCCTTTCTTTTGGACTCCATTCACTTCCTTCTCCTCAGCAAATTCACCACCAGTCTTTGGTACGTCTGTAGTTTTAGATGGTTTTGCTGGCAATATCACAGTGGGTTTCGCCTTTGGTTTAGGGGCTACAGTACTATCAAGCTTCCTGTCCTCTGCGGATTCCTTAACAGCTGGTTCCAGAACACTGGAGGGCTTGGGTTTAAGAGCTGGCTTGGGTTTCTTAGCCAGAGGAGGTGGCTTTCTCTCTTGGGTACTGACAGGAATCAGTTTTTCCCCCTTATGTTCCTCAATTCCGTCTTTTTCCTCTGGTCCCTGAGAAGAAGTCGTTTTCTTCGGAGGTTTAGCTGCAATAATAACTGTTGGTTTAGTCTTCTTTCCTGCAGCCACTGCATCCACAACTGGGATTCCAGTACCATCCAAACCTTCTTCCTTCACTTCATCAACACCAGATGAAGATCTACATTCCCTCTCTCTGGGTTTTGCTTTTATTGCAGTTGATTTGTCAGCAACTTTGTTAACCTGTTGATCTTCCTCTCCTATCTCACCGCACAAATCTCTTGGGTGTAACTCTGACTTCTCGTTAACATTTCCACTTCCATTAACATGCTCATCAGTTCTTAAAACATCATTAATTTCAGGCTTGTCATTTTTCACCTTCTGTGTTAGAAAAGCTGGAGTATTACTCAACCTACTGCCATCGACCTTACTAACATCCTCTTTGGGAGTATTTATCTTCTTATCAGGTATCACTGAGCCCATATCCAGTTCATCTGATTCCAGGGTAAGCTCACTTACTGGGCGTGTCTTAGGTCTAGGAGGGGGCTCACGACTCTTGGGTTTTCGCCTTTGTGGTGTCTTGGGTAAAGGCTCTTCAAATACTGGAGCAGGTTGGGCGGGGACAGCAGGAGGTGGAATCACTCCTGAAGAATCCATTGGTTTTGCTGGTACAGTGGAGATTTCAGGTCTACCTTTAGGACTAAACAAACAGAAACATATACATTCAGTTACAGTACAACTTCTCTACGAGTGCCACTTTGGGAAGAATCTGTGAAAAGAAGGAATATTAGGAAGGCAAACGGAGGGAAAAAAACCCAAATCAAATGTGAATTGTAAGTAAGGTTAAGTTTAATGTAAGAATGAAAATTTTGCGTTATTTTTTCCATAAAAAATCGGCTATACAGAGACGAGGTTCATTTAAAAAGCTTTAGGAATTACAATAAAAATATATAATGACCAGAATATTTAAACTACACAAAGTGAGTATGATCAACAGTGACTGCATTAGATTGTGCACTGGCAGCTTTTAACTGCTTGTACAGTGTTGTAGAAAGATCATTTGTACAATAATTATTGGAACGCTAGTAAGTGGCTGTAACTGTTGTAGAACTGAAAGGATACTTAAAATGACTGAATTTATGGAAAGTACATGGAGAGAAAAAATTGGCCATTACATAGTACTAGGGGCAGAAGTAGTTCTAATAATACAGTGGAATCCCGATTTTTCAACCACCTTTGGAAAAAGCAAATTGGTTCAAATTATCAGGGGGTGGGGTGGGGGGGGGGTTAAAAAGATTTTGTAGTAACCAGTAGCAAAGGTTAGGCACGACGGGCTGGGTGCTGTTAGAGTACACCTGGCCTTGCTCATGCACAGAAGACAGTTTAAAATTTATTCTAATGTGAGATGATGCAAAAGTGATACAATATTCATCACTAGCATGTTAAACTCAAAAGTTGAAAATTCAACAGTACAGAACAAAATTCCTCTTCACAAAAATAGTATACTCTACACTGTAAATTAATATGGCAAAAATTGCACAATTGCAAAATTGGCATGACTTAAGACCTCAGATAAGATTGACAAAAATTACGATCTCCAAAAAAATATACATATTTTAATTATGGCTGTTAAAATCTTCTTGAAGGGGTGCCTATTAAAAAGTTCCAAGTGACATCAAAATGATAAACTGCTGATTCTCCCTCTAAATTGACATGTCTTTGCTTATAAAATAAAGGAGAATTTGACATTATGTCACAGGGACTTAGAGGCCTTTTAACACTCCCCCAATTTTTATCCTTGGTGCATGCATGCTTTCACCATTTTCCCTAACAATAGTTCTAATTCAAAACTAAGAGACTGTCATGAAAACAAGCAGAAATTTGCTGACTCTTGGTACTTGACTGGCTCAGGTTACTGACAAATACACACAAAGAAACAAGTTAACTTCATACTTAGGTTTAGGTGATCCTTTCTGTGCCAGGTCAATGTTACTTTGTTCTTTGATTGAACTGCCCACATCCACTGCTGTCTCACCAAGGTCCACTCTAGGAGGAAGAGGAGGGGGGACAGAAGGTGGAGGCTTTTTACCAGGTTTAGTAGGAGGGGGTCCATTAGAAGGTGCAGGCTGTGTTAAAGGTTCTATGGGAGGTCTCTGTGGGAGGTACGGCATTGGTTTAGGAGGAGCTACTCTTGCTGGCTTCACTTCACTCCCTTCCATTGTCCAAGCACAGGGTGTCTTTTTCTAACCTACAGTACATGTACCAAGAGCAGAAAATAATGAAACAACCACTGACAACAACAGGCTTCTGCAGGAGATGGGCTAACTGTTGTCTGTGTCACCAGAGCTATTTGTAACCTCTGGTAATACAGTGTAGAACATTGATACAAATTAGAGATACAGTATTATAAAATGAAAAATCAAGACATGTAAATGAAAGAACTAAGTATCATATGTAACAGAACTCTGCATTATAAATTTTGATGAATTTTACATCCCAGTGGCTGTTGAGGTGAATCCCTAATAAATTAAAATAATTAATTGTGGCTAAACCCTAAACACAAGGTGGGGGGGGGGGGGGGGGGGGGGGGGGAACCATCAAGTTCCCAAACTGCTGTAATGTTTCAAGTTCTCTTGGTTTGAACTTAACAAAGTTTATGGTGTTGGATGTTGTACTGATCCCACTCAATATCTCCAGGATCTAACAAGGGAGAAACCTACAGAGTAAGAAGACAAGCCAAAAAAACACTAACATTGGATGAACCAATGTACGGGGAAAATAAGAAGACAAGACTAACTGATGTTAACGAAGGAACTGAACTATGGAGAAAGGTAAGAGGAATGTAAGACGATGAAAAAGACAAACATTGTGAAAGGAACAAACAGTTAATTGGGAATATATGGTGAAACATTGAGCAATATAAGTCTTGCCCTATCTATATGCTTCCCTTTGATAAAAAGTAATTTGTTGGAGTGGGGCTTTGAGGTGCTGAAAAACACAGAGTGCTACAAAGATGTAGGTCAACTTACTGTCTTATTGAAACATAAGGTGACTTGCCAATTGGCAAAAAAGTCTTAAAACGTAGTCACTGGCCCTGTGTTACATTCACCTATCAGCAACAAAGGTGTTGCTTGAAGTACATGTAGCACAAATTTCCAGATTGCCAGAGAGCACAGGCTAAATAGGTTTTGACACTCTCTAATATAACATCACATCATGTATATAGGGCTATACACGTAACTATCAAAATAATATCTAATAACGTAAATTCTTAACCCTTTAAAAACCCTACGATCAAAATTTGAATTCTCATTTATTGCCCCTATTCATTTCCTACAGAAGTAGAGGGGAGAAGTTAATAATATATCAAGCAAATTCATCCTGCTTTGTGTGATCATGTCTGTAATTCTCATGACCAATCTGTTTTACAAAGCATTGATATTACAAGGAGAATTTAATGCTTATCACCCTTAGCGCTCAAAGGTTTAAAAAAGGGGTACGATTCAAATAACTACAAAATATATAGATTAAAATCAATAAGGCAGCTACATGTACATGCAAGGTTGTTTCAATATTCAGTACTAGAGTCAAACACAGAGTATTATTCTCACACTACTCTTTGACATTTTTTTTATAGAGCTAATAAATTAATACAATACATAAATTAATCCAATTAGATCATTTCCTTAATTCTCACAACAGTGTGTTTGAATAACCAGTGGGACTAGGAGGAGAAAACAAATCTTGGTCACTATTAACCACTTCACTTCCAATGTTGGCAAAAGTAAAATTGACAGAAGTGCTAAATTTCACTTTCTAAAATGCTGAACAACACACATTAATGGGTGAAAATACTGTTGAAGGGGACCTTACATTTGAAGGGTCGCACTACAGAATTTTGTCCACAGACTCAAACGTTTAACACCTTACAAGTCAAGATTCAACAACCCCTTTGATGTAACCTGCTTTTCATGATCTCAAAAACTAAAATTACTATATATAATTATATTATTTTTTACTCCAGTTAGAAAATTCATTGGAGATTTAAACTCTGTGAGAGCTGATACAGGTTGGTATCCAAAGAATTTTAAACAGATAATCTTCAATTACTGATATTAGCCACTTTTGAAACAAAATCCTTTTCAGAGAGAACATTCTACAGAAATACAGTCGCTTTAGAAAAATAGTGCATTACTTTCTTTCTTTAGCAAAACAATTTGGAGTAAACTTTCAGACTTGAGAAAATGATTTGGTTTAAAATTAAAAAAAAATGTTTAGAATTATCAAATTCAATGCTGTGTTAGCATTGGGATGGATGATTAAACAACCTCTGGTAGGGGGCAAAGAGAAATGTTTTCAAGACTAGATGCAAAGAGAATGGAAGTTAAGAAAAATGTTCATGACGAGAACTTAATTGTTCTTGATAAGCAGTTAAAAATACCTTTTTCTGTCCATCGGTGTTTTAACCAATCATACAAAGATCGACTTTAGAGAAAAATGTCCATGGTTCTTGATAAGCAGCTAAAAATACCTTTTTCTGTCCATCGGCGTTGTAACCAATCATGCAAAGATCGACTTTAAGTACTTGAATGCACGTTCATCATCGAATTTGTGAAAAAAAAAAATAATACAACCACAATGTATTTTTTGGATAAAGCACGGAAAAAATTCAAAAATAGTCCTTAACGTTAATAACGAAGCACCTTACGTGCGCGCCAGAAATAGACGCAAACAAAAGTAACAAAGTAACACTGATATATGATCAAAACGACGCGATGGGCAAGCTATTTCTGTGCACTTTGGAACAATCAAAACATGACCCTTCAGCAATCAAGTATCAGTGAAGACATTCCCTTATTCATGAAAAAGTAAGAACTGAAATTAACCCACAGATTTGTTAAATTCAGGGCGGGGAGGGAATAGACTAGAATACTTACAAGTTTATCTCACGTATCCATCCACCATATTTCTCCGCCTCCTTTTCGAAATAAAGAACCGAGGGGTAGGTACTTCATATATGATTCTTATGAAGTACCTCCCCCACTGGAAGAACCGCTAGCCACTTTAGCGCCCAAAGCATTCTGGGTGATAGGGAATGTGGCGGTTATTTCAAGCGAGCAAAACAAATTTATTCACCGTTCGAAAATCTGGTTGATCGTTGTTCAGGACACGAGGATTATGCCAGAAGAAAAAGAAAAGATTATTCCTGTGCGTGTAGCCTTGAGAATAAGGCCACTGGTTCCAAAAGAAACCGGCGATGGATGCAAAGAATGCATCAGATGCGTTCCAGGGCATCCTCAAGTCATCATCGGGGAAGACAAAGCTTTCACCTATGATTATGTGTTCCAAACGTTCAGCAAACAAGCAGATCTCTATACTAAAACTGTGATCCCGTTACTGGAGGGATTTTTCAAAGGATACAACGCAACAGTGCTGGCCTACGGCCAGACCGGCTCTGGCAAGACTTATTCGATGGGCACAGCTTTTGCCATGAGCACTGAAACGAACGATGAAAGGGGAGTAATTCCTAGGCTAATCGAAACAGTATTTGACTGGATTGACGAAAGAAAGGACACAACAGAATTTTTATTGAAAGCGTCCTTTTTAGAGGTATGAACGTTTATTTTTCATGGAATGCTTAATACGTGAGTAATAGATCTCCATTTTGGTGTTTCAAATTTAATACGCTGTGTCTAGATACCCGGCAGCCGAGAATTGTTTTTAAAAAACCTGAAGTCTTGCAAAGGGAAGACCATCCCGCGAGATGATAACTTGCATGATTTTAAAAGAAAAGAAGAATCGGATAAAACAAGCATACTTTTTTTAAATTTAAACTCCTGATTTTATGGCAAAGTAGTGCTTTTTTCATTTATACATGCACGTATGATAAGCATGATCAAGTTTGCTGCAGATCCACAATAAATCTGAATAAATTCAACGCTCCCATTAAAACTGGCGCAATTGAGCTTAACTCCTGACAAAAACTTGGTCTTATCATCTGAGTTCATAAACTTAATTTACCACAGTCAAAAGATTCAAATGTAAAACTTGAAAATAGGAATTAGAATTACAGCTCAGTCCTGAGTGGCTAATAAATTAAATCAAGCTTTGTCAACTCAGCTGTGAAATGAAAACGAATTTGGTGTTTCACTTCCAACAACAACAATGCAGTTTCTTTTAATTTGTTATTACAGTATTTGAAACCTCTCCTGTCATTCCATGTAACCCTGCTTTTCACAACCTGGCATTCTGCACATCATAATAATACCATTACGGTCACATTGTACAGCTGTAAATCAGCAACGTTTAAAACAAACTGACATCATGACTACATTCTACTTAATACCGTCTTATTAACCGAGAGTGAGATAATTACAAGGACATCTCGGACCAAGGCCTTGATGTATTAATGATGTATTTATTAATGCATCAAGACCGAGGTCTGAGATTTCCCTGTAATTTCGGTGTTTTAACCAATCATACAAAGATCGACTTTAGAGAAAAATGTCCATGGTTCTTGATAAGCAGCTAAAAATACCTTTTTCTGTCCATCGGCGTTGTAACCAATCATGCAAAGATCGACTTTAAGTACTTGAATGCACGTTCATCATCGAATTTGTGAAAAAAAAAAATAATACAACCACAATGTATTTTTTGGATAAAGCACGGAAAAAATTCAAAAATAGTCCTTAACGTTAATAACGAAGCACCTTACGTGCGCGCCAGAAATAGACGCAAACAAAAGTAACAAAGTAACACTGATATATGATCAAAACGACGCGATGGGCAAGCTATTTCTGTGCACTTTGGAACAATCAAAACATGACCCTTCAGCAATCAAGTATCAGTGAAGACATTCCCTTATTCATGAAAAAGTAAGAACTGAAATTAACCCACAGATTTGTTAAATTCAGGGCGGGGAGGGAATAGACTAGAATACTTACAAGTTTATCTCACGTATCCATCCACCATATTTCTCCGCCTCCTTTTCGAAATAAAGAACCGAGGGGTAGGTACTTCATATATGATTCTTATGAAGTACCTCCCCCACTGGAAGAACCGCTAGCCACTTTAGCGCCCAAAGCATTCTGGGTGATAGGGAATGTGGCGGTTATTTCAAGCGAGCAAAACAAATTTATTCACCGTTCGAAAATCTGGTTGATCGTTGTTCAGGACACGAGGATTATGCCAGAAGAAAAAGAAAAGATTATTCCTGTGCGTGTAGCCTTGAGAATAAGGCCACTGGTTCCAAAAGAAACCGGCGATGGATGCAAAGAATGCATCAGATGCGTTCCAGGGCATCCTCAAGTCATCATCGGGGAAGACAAAGCTTTCACCTATGATTATGTGTTCCAAACGTTCAGCAAACAAGCAGATCTCTATACTAAAACTGTGATCCCGTTACTGGAGGGATTTTTCAAAGGATACAACGCAACAGTGCTGGCCTACGGCCAGACCGGCTCTGGCAAGACTTATTCGATGGGCACAGCTTTTGCCATGAGCACTGAAACGAACGATGAAAGGGGAGTAATTCCTAGGCTAATCGAAACAGTATTTGACTGGATTGACGAAAGAAAGGACACAACAGAATTTTTATTGAAAGCGTCCTTTTTAGAGGTATGAACGTTTATTTTTCATGGAATGCTTAATACGTGAGTAATAGATCTCCATTTTGGTGTTTCAAATTTAATACGCTGTGTCTAGATACCCGGCAGCCGAGAATTGTTTTTAAAAAACCTGAAGTCTTGCAAAGGGAAGACCATCCCGCGAGATGATAACTTGCATGATTTTAAAAGAAAAGAAGAATCGGATAAAACAAGCATACTTTTTTTAAATTTAAACTCCTGATTTTATGGCAAAGTAGTGCTTTTTTCATTTATACATGCACGTATGATAAGCATGATCAAGTTTGCTGCAGATCCACAATAAATCTGAATAAATTCAACGCTCCCATTAAAACTGGCGCAATTGAGCTTAACTCCTGACAAAAACTTGGTCTTATCATCTGAGTTCATAAACTTAATTTACCACAGTCAAAAGATTCAAATGTAAAACTTGAAAATAGGAATTAGAATTACAGCTCAGTCCTGAGTGGCTAATAAATTAAATCAAGCTTTGTCAACTCAGCTGTGAAATGAAAACGAATTTGGTGTTTCACTTCCAACAACAACAATGCAGTTTCTTTTAATTTGTTATTACAGTATTTGAAACCTCTCCTGTCATTCCATGTAACCCTGCTTTTCACAACCTGGCATTCTGCACATCATAATAATACCATTACGGTCACATTGTACAGCTGTAAATCAGCAACGTTTAAAACAAACTGACATCATGACTACATTCTACTTAATACCGTCTTATTAACCGAGAGTGAGATAATTACAAGGACATCTCGGACCAAGGCCTTGATGTATTAATGATGTATTTATTAATGCATCAAGACCGAGGTCTGAGATTTCCCTGTAATGGCTGAACAGAGGAGGTTAATAGGTTATTTATTATATGCCATGGCCTTTTCATTATGGACCTGAGCCTGGGATAAATATTAAAACAAACAACTGGTCAGTGGATAACTTAAAAAAACATGTCACCTCATTGAGTTGAACACTTGCGCTCATGATACAGTCAAGTGACACTGGTCAGCAGATACCTTTTTGACAGCTGTCAATTAACCATAACATGGATGACCATAAGGATGTCCACTATCAAGGTCAACACACACTGTATATGCCTTGGACACCTAGCTAGTAATGACCGGTTATAATTTACAAGGAAATAATGCCCAGTCAATTTTACAAAAAAACAGCCAATCAGAGTGCACATACTATTGTAGCCATGTAATAAGTGTACTTAAAATTGCCTACAGATTCATAATGAGGAGATTCATGACCTGCTTAATCCCGGTCCACAAGAGGAATCCAAAATTGCCATAAGAGAAAGTCATGATGGAGGAATCAAGGTACTGCATGGTCATTTGTACATGTAAAATACTTGTGTCAGGGTAAGGCTGGAGGGAACTTAGCCCCCCACTTTTTGAGATGGTTGGAAATAAAACGTTTTACCAGTTTTAGCTGTTAGATCATTTGATTCATGACTTACTAAAATTAAATAACTCCAGTTCCAAATTTTTCATTCACAGACTAGGTAACCTCTTTGTAAACTTTGTAACACTTTTTCTCTGTTGTTTTTATTCCTCTTTTTTGAGACTTGAAAAGCGACTGTGTGTGTCGCTTGGTTTCAAGGATTATCATACATGTATCTTTGTTTAAATTTTTTTAATAAGTTAAAGTTTTGCCTGTGAATAATGCTCTCCTTGTTATCATCTATCAGTGCTGCTTTATATCTAGATCTGGAGGATATAATAAATAGCCGTGCAGAGATACAAAATTTCTCTTCTAAGGAGAAGAAAAATTTTGTATCTCCAAGCGGCAATTGTATTAATGTTCTGTTTATTATACAAAGACCAATAAAATGCCAAACTTCTTCACTTTAGAACAGTTTTTGAAGCCATAGCAATGGTGATCTTTTCACGTGTGAAGATAATCACTGGTATTAGTTAGTGGGTTTTCCTGGTGGGCATGCAAAGGCAAGTGATAGGTGGGAATGAGTAAAAATCTGTGCCTTCCCTCATCAAGCACGTCTCACACTCCATGCCCTGGCAGCTCCTAGGTCCTTTCACTTTCCTGAAAAATAGGAAAAAATAATGCTTATTCTGCAGGGAACGCCTTGTACAGTAAATGAGTGGGTATAATGTGATAATATGCAGGCACTTATTTACACTTACAAGGTTTTATTTATTGCAAAAACTGTGATTTTGATTTCTGTGCAAAGAAAGCCATGTACTAGCTGATAGCCCAGAACTAGTGGATTTTGCAATCAGACTAGTAAATTCTGTTTTTGACCAAAAGACAATTAGTGAGGTAATTCAAATTAAAGAAGTATACAGCTGTAGGTCACACTGTCTACTCCTAATTAATTCAATTGCATTGCAAGTGGTTTAAAGCTGACCTGACAAAGTGAAATAATTACAAGTTAACAATATGATGCATTTAGAAAGCCAGTAATTTTGATTTGTAAACTAACTGCACCATTAGTTATTTTTATAATTAATTATTAATTTTGATCTACAAAAACGTTTCTAATGGTTAGTCGAAAACTGAATCTCGGTCAGGCTAGTACATGCTACCCACAGCTTGTGCAATGCAAGGGGCAAGCTGTAAACTGACTTTCTTTGCACTGTGATAAATGTTTTTTCTTCCCTAGATTGCTGGTTTACAAGAAGTAACCATAACATCTGGAGCGGACATGATCAGATGTTTAGAGCAAGGCTCAGCATCAAGAGTTACTGGAGCTACTGCTATGAACAGTAGATCCAGTAGATCTCATGCCATTTTTACAATCACTTTAGAGCAACAGGAACTGCAAGGGTAAGGTCATTGCAAAAATAATTCAGAACGACAGATTTTCTGTTAGTAATGATTGTTTACATGCTCCAGTAGTGCTCACAGCCTAATTTGGCAACTCAGTTTTAGACTCAAGAAACATGGAAAATCCAATTCGCAACATAAAAACTCTTAGGAAAACAGACCAAAAAAACAGTGTTCTGAGAACACTGT